CCATCGCGGCGAGCGGGACTCGCGGGCTCCGCACGCACCCCCGGGGCGGGCGCAGAGCTGCGCGCCCCGCGCAGCATCCCCGGGCAGCCCCTGCAGCTGCGCGGGATGCGGAGGCCGGCGGGCCGGGCGCGCGCGGCTGCTCGAGGCCGCCAGTGCCGCAGGGACACAAGGGGGGACCCCCAAAGCAGCCCCTGCCGCGGAGCGAGGGAGGAGGCGCCGGGCCCCGGCCCAGCCGAGGGAGCGCAGCTCACCCGGCCTCAAGCCGCGGCTCCCCGCTCCGCGGCCGCCGGGTTCCCCCTCGCGGCCGAGGCCGGCGGCGCCCGCAGCCCCCGCGGGGTTCCCGGGCTGCCCTTCCCGGGCAGCGCTTTTGTCCCGAAGGAGCAATTCGGGCGGCTGCTGAGGGCGGCTGCGCCAGCGGCTCCCCCGGGATAACTGCGCTGCCGCTTGGGAGCGCAGGGATGTTCCCAGCGGTGCGSAGGGCCCGTCCCCTGCGCGGGCGGCGGTGGCAGCCCCTGCGCAGGCGGGACCCCCCCATAGGGCTGCTCGGGGGCGGCCCCGGCGGGCGCAGCCCGCAGGGCTGCAACGGGCAGATTAGGAGCCGAAGCCGCGCGCACCGGTACCGGCACCGGGCACGCAGCAGCGCTCCGAGGCGGCGCCGGGCCCGTTAGCCGCCCGCAGCCCTTGGGGAGCAGCTGCCGTTAGCAGAAAGAGGGATCATTCCGTAGACAGGCGCTGGTGGCCGGCGCAGCGACCAGAGGGGGTGGTGGAAGCAGCTGCGGTTACTGCCGAGGAAGGGGGTCGCGGGGCTCTCGCAGCCGCCGAGGGGCTCCCCGCGCGCTGGGGGCCGAACGCGCTGCGAGCTCCCTGGGCACCCCCAGCCGAGGCGGCGGCTCCCCGGGGCGCAGAGCTGCTGCCACSCGGCGCCGCGCCGCTCCGTGTCGCGACCGGGGACCCGGCTTCGCAAGGAGCCGCAGCGGGCGGGTTTCGTGCCCGAACCGCCCGGACATTCCCCATCCCGAGCTGGGACAGGAGGGCGGCGCAGAGACCGCCGGCGCTGGCCGGGCCCGGCCGCCTCCTGCAGCCCCGGGCTGCGGCCCCAAAGCGGCTCGGAGGCCAGGGGTGTCCGGCGCCCCCCCCAGGCTCGTGCTATCGGGGCGGGCAGGACAGTTTCCCTTCCCAATAACGGAGCCCCCTGCGCCCCGGGGCCTCTAGAGCCCCTTTCCACAGACTCCCCTAGGGAATCCCGGCCTGAGGCCTTTGCACCAGCAGCTCCTGGCCCTTGTGAGCATTGCAGACCTGAAAGGCTAAGAGTCCCTCACGYGTTAATGTTGTTCAAAGAAGCCCTTTAATTTACATGTCTATTGAAGAACTTTAATCCCAATTACCTTCAACACTCCCAGGGAGCCGCAGACCAAATACCAGGGAAATATTAAAACTGGGCACAGGGTGATGCAACCACACACACAAACGGTGCCCAAGCGGAGGAGAYCCCTGCTCCCCACCCGGGATTTACCTGAAACCTTGGAAAACGAAGCCCTGGGAGATGCAGGAGCAGCTGGAYACAGGATGCAACGTGGTGACTCCCGCCTCCACTCCGGGTGAGYGGAAGCGCAGGGCGACTTGGCGACATTGGGCAGGGGCTGGAGTCTCCACAAAGGGCCCTCTCCTGCTTTCGGGAAGCAGAGGAGAGGCAGCAAGGCCACAGCTGTATGAAGAACTGGGAAAATCAGCACAGCTGCAAAGTCCTCGCCTGGTCTAGAACAGCCCAGCAAGACAGTTTGCCCCTAGCATCAGAAACACCAAGAAAAAAACACCAAGAAAAGCCAAACTCATTGGTATGAGACATAAAACCAACAACACGACTTTATTTTAGACTTCACCCAAACTACATCCTCCAGATGTTTAACAGTGTGGTGGCAGAGCCGCCAGTTCCCCGCTCTGAAAGGCCCCTTCTGCTGCCCATGGTTGCCCCTGGTCGGGTCTAACTCTGGTTTAGCCTCGGAGCCCCAAACATGACACCGTTGCATGGGTTAAGGTTCCTTGTGCTGTTAATTTTTAATTGCTGTGGAAGCCACAGAGCGAGGCCTTGCTGGAAGGTCGGAAACTAATGCTAGGAAAGTCAGCTGCTTTTGTTAAAGTGCCTTATTTTCTTTGAGCTTTTCAAACATCTTCCTTACATTTTTTTTTTTTTTAAGATGGAGGGCAAGGGGGGGTGAGAGCAACACTGGTTTTATACCAAACAAAGCAGAAAATGAATCAGTATTTACACAGATCTTGGATAAGGTTATGGCAGAGACTAATAACCTGACACAGCAACCCAAAAAGCAGAGTGTCAAAAAGAAGAGAAAAACCTGCTCGCTGGCTTTCAACACCAGCCCCTGGGGAGCCGGAGTGTAAACGGTTTTATCTACGCGAAGGCATTTGACTTGGGCTTCACTAATCGGAGCCGATTAGAGGCGGTTTCCGCGGGCAGCGCGCGGGTGGGCGGGCGGCCGCGCAGCGCCCGGGAGCACAGCGCCCATTTAGACCAGTTCCACTTTGGCGTTGGGATARACGGCCACGACGTCGTAGCCTTCGGGCGGCTTGACCCTCTCCTTGGCGTGCGTCTCGCAGTAGAGCTGCTCCTCGATGAAGAAGTAGCCTCTCTGCTTGAGGTTGAGGCCGCAGTCGTCGCACATGAAGCACTCGGGGTGGTAGAGCTTGTCGCGCGCCTTCACGATGGTGCCGCTGGCGAGAGACGGGCACGGCGTCAGGACGGGCGCGTAACGCAGGGCGGGTTGAACCAGAGCGCGCGATTCGAGATAGCACCCAGGTCCCAGCACTGCACCCAGCCCCGGGCCCGGCTCGCGGGACTCGCACCCAGCCCCGGGTTTGGATCATGGGACTCGCACCCAGCCCCGGGCTCGGCTCACGGGACTCGCTCCGTCCTATGCAGGGAGCTCAGTCCCAAACGGAGCACACGGCTTTTAACCGAAGTGAGCAGGGTGTAACTACACAATGGTGAAGGAGGAATGTGCCRCTGTTCCCCGAGCATCAGTCCCAACAGCCATGCATTGGAGGGCAAATCTTCAGCACCASAAAACGACCCCCTCAAAAATTACTGCACGTGTCGCCCCTTGACCTTCAGAAGCGCTTCTCCCCGCACAAGGCAGCGCGCGACTGCCCGTGTCTTTGGCGCTATCGTAGTCACTGGGCAGTTATCAGGATAACGCGTGAGAAATGAGCCTATGAATCACCCGCCGCTGCAAAACTCCCTTAAAAGGGGCACTCGAGCTCCCCAGCGCCAGGTTTAGACCAGGCCCGGCAGGASAGGCGCGATGCCGCGAGGGATGCTCACGCGCCCGGGGCCGGAGCCGCCACTTACACGATGCCGTTCCCGCAGCGCGTGCACTCCGGCAGCAGCTGCAGCCCGGACACGGCCCCGCCGAGCTTCGACACCGGCGGCTTCACGTGCCGCGGGTTGCTCAGCCTGTCGAGCTTCTCACCTGCCAAGAGCATTAAACAGACATGAAAACCTGCCCCCCGCGGCTTTCTTCCCTTGTTTAGCTCTACTCGTTATCTACCCTCAGCAGAGGAGAAAAAGATTAAAGTCTTTGGGAGAATTAGGCAAATTAAAACAAACAACATAGTTAAATGCATTTATCTTAGATGGCTTATTTACTTTATTCCATCTGTCAACAGCTAGCAAGGCTTTTAAAAACCTAAAGTAAAACGATGTGCTACAAGATAAGCTTCTGGGGCCCCAGGTTTCCTTCCACAGAAGTCCAGCCGGAGGAAAGGAAGCAGTGAAAGTTTTGTGCATACCATAAAGGCTTCAARGGCTTCACAGGTCTTCTCACGTACAGATATACCATAAGCGCTCACATCTTGGACACAATGCACATGTCAACAATGGTGACACCTGAACCCTCCCCAGCACACCTGGTTTTTGAATAAGGCCTCAGCACAAACTGCAGTTTTGGAAACTTCCACTCTGGYTTGCCGTGAGCCTTCAGGAAATTGCCTGCCTTTTTTTAATGTGATTCCTGATTATCTGCAATCCCGTGCCGTTCCCGACAGCCGCTCACGGAGCCCGGGCAGGGCTCTCGGAGCAGCCGCGCTCCGCAGGGCTCCCTCCCTTGCTGCTGGGGGCTGGGGACCACCCAGGGCTCCCCGAGCTCCACGGCACTGGGCGGCTCCGGCTCCCACTGCRCTTGCCAAAAACCTGCAGTTCTGCTTTTGTTCAGAATGGGCTGTTTTTAGACCCCTGAAAACAGCATTCAGCAGTGAGCAGAGAGGCCCAAAGCCCTTGTGTTTAAGCAGCGGGACTCGTAGGTGTCCTTGTGCAGACAGCCCCATCCTTAGGCAGAGCTCTGATGAGCAGTGCAACACTGCTATTTTCTTTACTCACCAAACTACAGCAAAAGGACCCATTTCCCCCAAATCCCACTTTCTCAAGACTTAACATAGTATTTTGAGATGCATATGCATTTCGAGGGACCTGACACGTGAGAGTGACGGGCAAGGGGCAGGGGCTGCCGGGCCCCGGGCTCTTGGCTGCCCTTGGGCGCCTGCTGTGCACCGAGTCCTTTAGTTGCCCTTGGAGAAGGGGCTCGGCCTCCTGCCCTCAGGTTAGACCCGGGCTCGTTTCCAAGGAGCAGCAGCTGAGCTGCCGCTGGGTGCCTGGATGGCCGGGTACCTGGTGAGAGGTTTTACACGCGAACAAGCCCTTGAGGGCGCTGCTTCCCACCTCCCTGCCTGCGGATCCGGCCGGCGGTTGGACCTCTCCCACAACCTCTCCTCTCATGCGCAGTCCTGGCACGATAGTTGAGCGGTCCTAGCCAGGCCCGTCCGTGCTGGTTGAAGGGCTCGTCCCTCGTGCTTGGAGGGCGCCTATGGGGACCACAGGGACGCGTCCTGGACGATCCCATCAGACACTCGGCAGGAAGCTTTTCTTATCGCAGGCACGGTGTGGGGCTGATAACCCCAAGGAAAATACAGTTTCTAGTGGAAATGTTTTCTATATACAACAGTTCTTTGTCTGAAACGTCTGGCTCATCAAGACTTCATCAAGATCATCCCCGCTTTGAAAGGAAAGCGCACGACTGGCTGGGGCCAAAACACGTATTCCTGTTACACGGGCGGATTGAAGCAGAAAGGATCAGGGTTGAAATGTTAGAACAGCCTAACAGAGACAGTCCCAATGATTTAAACACTGCTGAAACGCTACAGAGCTCCGTGCCAGCAGAGGCCTCTCTGATTGCTACTCCCTGACGGGGCGGGCGCCGCTGGCACCAGGGCTGCTGTTTGCTGCGGAGGCAGCTGGACCTTCCCCGTCTGCTGCGGACCCCCTGGGGACACAGAGCAGGGCTGAGGGAGGCCGAGAGGCAGGGCGAGACTGGGACCCTGCACCACGGAATGGTTGAGGTTGGGAGGGACCTCTAGAGAYCATCCAGTCCAACCCCCGGCTCCAGCAGGGACACCCAGGGCACAGAGCGGCATCCAGGTGGGTTTTGAGGACCTGCAGAGGAGGAGACTCCACAGCCTCCTCCACAGCTCCGAGGCCGACCCCGTTTCAGGCTTTGCTCACGTGCCTCGATACMCAAGAGCTCCAAACGGGCGGAAACTCCACGCACAGGAGTTAGGGGTGACCTTACTGCCCGTGAAGCAGCCGCCTCCTGCTCAAAACTCTCCATTCTCTGCTGTTTTACACATGAGGAGACCAAAGCGCAGCAGCCAGACTTGCCAACCCTTGCAGTTTCTTAATGGGATTTGCAGTAGTTCATTTTGCCATCAAATCCAGTTGTGGATTCACACGATTGTAACAGAAGAATCCCAGAAGGAAAGAGCAGATCCTAGCCCTAAAGACTGCAAAGAAAAGTCTGAAAGTTTGAACCTGGAGTCCTTAACAGACTGAAGGTTGAAAGGCAGATAAAGAGAAGCTGAAAATTAGTTTGGGGACCTTATTTTTTAACGTACAGAGTTGGCTCCAACCTGAATAACAGAWGGAAAGTTATGACAAATCTGGTGAGTCAAAAGCTCTTGGTTTCTACTGCTATGCTGCTGAGGACCATCCATATCCTTATGCAAATACTATTTAAACAGGCACACAATCCTCTACCAAYGGCCTACACGATAATTTCCAAACTGCTTCATTTAAACAATTCATTTCAGGAAAGCAGCTGTCACGGAGAAGTTATTTGCAAACCTAAACAGCTTCCACGTGACGCGCAAATCAGCCCCCAAATTCGTTAAGCAGAGGCTGGCCCGAGCATCTGCACATGGTGAAAAAACCCTGGTTTGAGACCTGCCTCAGAGCGTTGCCTGCGAGGGGTGTTTGGACCTTCCCCCGTGGAGCTGGTTCATGTCTCTGCACTGAAGAGCTGGGCTGCAGAGCAACAGAGCAGGTCACTCTGCAAGAATGTCCCAGCAGCTCCTGCACGGATCCTTTAAAGGCATCACGAGCTGCTGGGCCTCAGCGAGGGGAAGAGCAAGGACGAGACCCAACCAGCAGTGTGAGGATGTGCAGCAGCAAGCGCCGGGCAAGGACCCTGCACACTCCTGGGGCTGCCGATGGAAATTCGGGGTCACCACCCACTCACCCAGGAATGAAGATAAAGATTGCTGGATAAAGAGCACTGATTTACAAAGCAGCCCGCCCTGTGCACAGCAGCTTGGTGTGACCTTCCCCGCACCTGCGGGAATAGCAGGCCGAAGGACAACAAAAACGAAGCCCAACGGGGCAGATTTCCCCTTAGTGGTGGGCAGGCTTTGCCCATCAGTGCAGCCTGGGAGGATGAGATGCTGTGGGGAGGTCCCTGGGAAGCGCCACGTGCTTAACCGCTCCAAGGCTTCCTTACCGTTCTCCCCAGCTTCCAACATGCCCTGCAGGTATCGGAAGGATCCAGACTGCTTAGGCTCCGAAACCGGCTTTTCGTAATCCTGGAGCATCTTGTAGACATCTGACTCCATGTCAATCCCRTTTCTGTTTCTCGGGAGAGACTTTAAGGGGTCGAGGCTGTTTAAAAACAAAATAATACTCCAGTTATCAGCTCATCAGGGATGTACTTGCCACCCCCCCTTAGATTTAATCTATTCACAGAGATTCAGCTAAACACCTTTCTCTCCCTCTGTGTTTGTCTACCTCAAAGGAAGCCCATCCTTGGAAAATAGTCATTAAAACTAGGAAAGAGCAACTTGTTCCCTGTTTGCTTCTATTGAGCAACACAGCTTGGGYTTGACTAGTTACCAGATGCCCCAAGGAGCGCGGGCAGCTGCTCACAAGCATTGTAAATTGCTCTACCACACATGAAACGTAATGAAAGATGGGCAAAACGATGCATTTAATTAATTAGGCAAGCCCAGCAAAGCCCGGCTGCATCGGATTTGGTGCCAGGCGTGGGCAGCACTGATGGGGTCCCAGCAAAGGCACCTTTCTAAACCAGCCTCCCTGCAGGTGACCCAGTTCAGAGCATTTGCTGGAAAAACCCACAGCGTAAAGGGCAGCAAAAACGCCGGGTCATGCAGCAGTGAGACAAGAAAACACTGGGAATAAGCCAGAGTTCTCAGCACTGCCCCCTCACACGTGCTCTCACTTCAGCATCGAGCTGTTTGTGGCTTGGAGCTGGCAGGATTCGGGATACAAAGAGTGACAAGTCTCCTATTCAACCCTTCATCCAATAATCAAGTCATGGTTTGGATTTAAAAATACCTCAGGTACCCGTTTAAGCGTCCTGCRGAGCAGGATGAGTAAGTGCTTGTGTGCCTTGTTAGGCCTAAGAGCATAGCACAGGGTTAAGGACTCCTTTATTTCTTGTAAAGCTCCAAGGACATCTGTGTCCTTATAAAAGCAATAAAACTAGCAAGAGCCCTTAAGCCCATTAGACAGCTTAGCACGTTTTAGCCCTCGTCTGACTCATTTGCTCCGCCAGCATTATATCCGTGCCTGTTAAAAAAAAACTGCTTTCAAAAAATGCCAAAGCGACGTTCCCTGGAAGCAATGTGCRACGCGGAGCTCTTCCGTGCCCAACATCTGCTCCCAAAACACATGTGCTGCCAGGCGCCCGGGCCCCGACTGCCCTCGCAGGGCCAGGCAGCTACAGCCCCAGCACCAACCCCTGCCGTTTCCGCACTCTCCACACGTGCCCCGAGCGCCTTCCTGCTTTAAAAAGGGCTTTTTACCGCCCTTTCATACAACCGTCTACACACGTGCATGGAAAAGGAGCCCGGTTTTTGACAAATCCAGCCTGACGAAGCACAAATTCAGCAGAACCTTGTCCTGACCTAGTTTTACTCCCGTGCTGCTGGAGCTCAACTCCCTGCTTCTGGCTCACAAAGACCAATAACATCATATTTTCTTCTTGSTATTTTTTCTGCAGTTCCCTTCTTTCCAAAATCATTAACTTTCCTGGAGCAGGGCTAGGAATAAACTGGCTCACAAAGTCACTGAAATATGAATTTGTACAAGCATGTAGTTTCTGAGCTGAAAACATGCTATCCTTGCTCTTTGTATCTGACGCAAACATTATTTCTTGTACAGTATTTTGCCAGGCTAGGAAAGCACAAATCRCATTGTCTTTCACATAAGACAATGTGAAAGTACCAGAGCCCGTCTCAAGGTCAGAATCCTGCACCGAGGCTGCTCCTGGTGACAGCAGCTCGTTCCTTCCTATGTGCGTTATTTATTTCTCTGCCTCCTGGACAGCTGCACTGAACAGATCTCAGATTTTTAAACATCCCATTTTACAGGCGTTCACTCTCTGTGCAAAAAGATTCCTAAATCCCTTTCATGCTTGCTCCTAAACTTAGAGACGTGTGTTCCCTGCATAAACCGCAATGCCAGATTTCTCCTGTCCTCAGCAGGTAGGAAACAGACAGAGATGCGTCACTAAAACCATCTTTGCATTAACTATAGTGGAAAAAACCCAAAATTGCACTGCTGGGTGCAGCAGGAGCGAGCAATGCCTTCCCATACCTTTGGGAAGGAGCGATGTGGAGCCCGCTCATCTGGGCCGGCAGGCTCGGCTCGGCGCTGCTGTTTGCATAGAGCCGGGTCGGGTTGTTGTACTGCAAATTCAACATCTGTTTGTTATCCACAGGGGTCCCTCCGCCAGGAGCGGGAATCGGCTTTTTGTTCAGCGCAGGCCCGTTATCCTGAAAGAGAAACRGCAGGAAAACCTGTGAGGTTTCTAGTTCTTAACACTAAATACGTAGGCAGGCTGCTTTATGATGCTCAGGTTGTGTTAATAACGTTCTCACGTGCTATCAGTGTTAATTTTCCCACGGTGAAACACAAAGATATGTACCAGGAAAATAAAAGCTTGGATTCTATCTGTAAATTGGGTCTTGCTGAAGTTTTCCTTTGTCACTAACCTGTTGCYCCCTGTTTCCCCCTTGCCAAGCATCCTACATTTATCCCCCCGTAAAAGCAGCACGTGGTATTTCCACCAGAGACAGGCCCTGAATCTGCTTCTCCTTTCGTGTCACATCACGCGCACAGCAGCTTGCAGCCCTCTGCCTTCAAGGCTTCGCTCCTGATTTACACCAGTGAAACGGGATCAGAAGCAGCCTCGGCAGCCGTGCAGCCTGCTCAGGAGCCCAAGCCGAGGCGGGTTTTCACTTCTTTGGGATCTGTGTGATCTGTGCTCATTTTGGGTTTTCTCCAGAAAAAACAGTCATTTACAGTGTGATAAACATTTTACCAACTAATTTGCTATTTACGTTTCCAAGGGTTTATTCGCTCCCGAGGCAAATAAATAGTTGCAGGGAAGACAAAGGGCACCTTTCTGCCTCACCCCTCATAAGCCAGGAACTAGCAGGCACTAAAGCGCAGGCGCCCGTGTTATCTGAGCTGCAGGGAGCATCGTGCCGCGCTCCTGGGCAGCTCTGTCAGTCCCGCACAGGACCCCGAAGGAGCGAAACCTCCCGCGGGACAGAAACCTCCTTCCACGTCCTCGTGCAAGAAACAGACCCTTACGTAAGYGGCATTAATCTGCTTAGTGCTACAGGCCACGTCCACGGCAGGGCTGGTTTACACCAGCCGAGAACAGTGCCCAGGACCCGGGTTGATTAAAACKCGTGAAAACACCGGAAAACGCTGCCCTGGGAACAAGGAACACGGAGGGCCCGGACACGGCGCTGGATCAGCAGGGATCGGCCAATAAAGGCTAATTGGAAACGCGTCCATCGCTGGTGCATGGGAGAGCACCCTGCCATGGCCAAGGGTAGTGAAACCCAACAGCTAAGAGAAATAAAAACCAGATCCTGCTAGAAAGSGGTTTTCAGAGCCCAGTGCTGAAGCGCTTCTGAAGACCAAGCGCCATTGATAAAAGCCGGGATTTTGCYAATTAGCAAGGGCAAATTGGCACCTTGGTGTTTTCCCTGTGCCACCAGCTTAGTGATTCCAGCTCCCGCTCCAAATGTACGGGGCTGCCGTGGAGCCCGTCCCGCTCCAAACACCACGTGTGGGGCAAGCGGCCCCCAACGTCGGCAGTYATCGAGGAGAGAAGGAATTTCTCTGCCAGGAACGACGTAGTTTTAACTTTTCCCCAATTTATACTTTTCACAAAAAATCACAACCAGGCTACGCGTTTCCAGTTCTTGGATTTATATTATCATTTCAAGAGGAAAACACGGAATTTGACCATACTGCGGCAAGGACAAGGAGGCTCATAAACGTTTCAGGGGAAGGCTACGGTCCGTGCGGCCGTTTGGGGCTGCAGGCTCCAAACAAAACACACCCAGCACCTTCAGCCCCGGTGCCGGGAAGGACCCACACGGCCGGGTCCCACACAGTGCACGTGGGAACACACGAGCTCCCCGACTTCCTTAGGGAAAACCTTTTCTGCTGCAAACGTGTTGGCACCGAGGGCTGCTTTTAATCGCTGACCATTGCAGCCACAGGCCCTTCCTAGTGTAGATGCTTGTTTAGCTCTAGCAGCTAATGCAAACAAAGGAGGGAATTAAATGCAAGAGCAAAATGCTACTGATGCTGCGTGCGAAATGGGCATCCGTGGGAGGTGTTGCTTAAAATAATGTTTAGTCCTTAATAAAGTCAGTCCTGATTTTCCTAGCGTAGATAGGACASAGAGGAACTCATCATATAGTTCCTTTCTGATGAGAGCTCTACAGGCTCCTGAAAATAAGAAATTTTGAAATAAGATGCCTGAGAGAGACTGTAAGGAAGGTCCCGATGCAGGAAACGGAGCTCGCGCCGCCTCCGCACCCTGATGGGGAAAACACCTTCATCTTACGAGCCCAGACACCCGGAATATCCATTGTGGCACTGAGCGCTCCCAAAGGCCGAGCTGCGGGCAAGGCTCCCTGGTGCGAGAGGCTGCTAACAAAAATACTGGTATCACTTGCGTGCAACCAGCACAGTTAGCTGGGAAACATSACAATTTCTCTCAACGCAAGGAGCCAACAAAAAGCCCTCTTGGCAGCATCGCGGCTGGTGATTTGTTCTGACAGACTAATCAAAAAGACAACATTCAGGAGGGGGAACGGGCCTGGCGTCGCTGCTCGGCCGCCGGCCCTGGCACGGAGCGGCCGCGGGAGCAGCAGCTCCCCAACAACCTGCAGGATCCTCCAAGCAAGGGAGGGAAACGCGGGTGCCTGGAATACGGCATTTCCAGAGCAAGATGCCGAACGACGCCAAGTTGTTTGCAATCGTTCTTGGGAAGGGATCAAAGAGGCCGAGGCGACGGGCGCTCCCTGGCTACGCGCTCGGCTCCTGGCCGGTCGCTGCAGCCCGTGGCCGCTTTGCAGACACCCCCTTTCCCTCTGTCAGGTGAGGGGGCTTCATTCCACCGCAGCACCAYGCCCAGACACAACCCGGCTAACGAGCATAATTGCTGAAGTAATGAAGATCAAGTTTCTTCAAAGGAAATGCTTCCAACTTCAGGAATCATTCAAGGAAACATTAAAAGAAAGGATGTGGAAAATCGCCATGGAAATGCAAACAAAATATACCAGGCAGAACACACGATTTAGCCTGCTTAACGTGAGTAACCTTGGGATACAAAATTGGGAAGAGCTTAAATCCTGGTCTGTGTCTAAGCCCCTGTCTTAGCCGGCAGAATTCCCATGCCSTCCTCTTCCGACACCAGCCGTTGCTGCTCGTGCTCTTCACAGCTGTGTTCTGCAGACCCGCCAGGCCTAACTGCCTTTTGCACTCRGAGAGTATATTCTGTACAAAACCTAATTCCTTAATAGTTCGGGGAGCTCATAGTGGTATTCTGATACCCACTTTGGTTAAGTGCATCCATCTTCAACTCGCAGCCTTCCAGAACTTCCCCTTTTTGCTGCCTCCTGCTCTGTTCCTTCCAAGCTTGTTCAGTTTGTCCTTCTTTAAGGGAGACTTTTCATTTCTGGATATTATGCAGAATGCCTCTTTGCCTTCCCAGCTGTGTGCCGCAMGGAACCTCCAGCTCTGCAGAGGTTTAGGTGCAGCTTTACTCCATGTCCTGACCCCAAGCACTTACCAGTAGTCCTTTGGTTCACATTGTGTTCAGTCAGCCCTTTAAAAGGCCAGAAGCACAAACAGAACCACGAATCCAACTTCATGGCCTATCACACAGAGCAAAGCTGAGATCTTTGCTCTTCCAAGGCTAATAGAGGCTCCTAAAACACCCGTGCAAGCGCCTGCACCCACGGCCTCATTTGGAGGAGTTTCGAGGTTTGCAGGACGCAAGCAAGAGCAGTTTCCCACTGAGAGGGGCCCCTCGCTGCCCGTGGCCACGTGCCTCGTTTGCCCAAGCCGGGACGGCCGGAGCTGCTCGCGGTTATAAACACAGCAGCACCAGCCTTAAGCAGAGCGGAGCGTCACTGACAGCCCGGCAGGCTGCCGGATGAACTGCACGTCCCCTGCCTTCCTGCAGACCGGCTTTGCTGGCTCCCTGCTATCGGATAGCTGCAGGAGGGACAGCAGTTATCTACACACCGTGAGCCAAGAGCCTCATCTGGCCCCACAGTCCCCWGGAGGGGACACCCTCTGCACCCGTCCGCGGTACCTGCGCTCGGATGGGACCCGCAGGACAGCAGCAGGCGTTTCTGCAGCCCGGGCTCTGCAACGTGCAGGGACAAGACACGTCCCTGGCATGGGATCCTCAGCTGTGCATCGTGAATGAGGGAGAAGGCGGGTTTGGAGGATCAGTCTAGGGCGCCAGGCTACACACACGGAGCACTAAGCGACACCGCTACAGCCACAACAGCTCCCTGCACTGCAACAGCGTAAGGACAGAGGCAGCAGATGCCCTACGGCACATGGAAAAGGTAAGGCTGTATCTTCAGGCTCTGGACAAGTGTGCCTTGGGAGCGACCCTTCCTGGGGATGCCTCACACAKCACCAAGAGGGGCTCGGGATTCCCRGCTCCATTCCCAGGGATATCCTGGCCATAAAGGAAACYTAAGACTGGCCACTCCTCGGAAAGGCTTCAGATCCAAGACACAGGTGAAGACAAGCCGGGTGGTCCCRAGCCCTCCGAGGACGGGAAGAGGCTTCCCCTGCCCGAGGCGCTTCCTTCCCCAGCGCTCYGCAGGGCTGCGGGAGCTCCCGGGAAATTTGGGCAGGGAGGAGGCGCCTCCAGCTGCACCAGGCCACACAAGCAGAGGGAAAACAGAGGTACCGACTCCTCAGGTGGCTGTCTYCCCTCTGGACCCCTGAACAGGTAAACTCGGATGCTCCAGGTTTCTCCTCGCGGGGCGCTTCTCCCCGATGACGTTCTGCTGCTTTCGGGGCTACAGTTCCCCCTTCGTGCAGGTTTGACRTGCAATTAAACTTGCAGACGTTCACTAGCACATCCTGACATCCTCAAGACTGAAACTCAAGCACAGAGGGCAGGTCTGTAATCCAGCCACCCCTTCCTCAAACTGCCTCCAGTCCTGGAAACAGAAACCTGATCATTCATCGGCACCGGCAGTACGGGGCAGACAGCCCTGTTTGCACTTTAATGCAAATAACAGCTTTGCATCGTGGCCAGTTTCCCCAGGCACAGCCTCCGTTCCCCAGCCCCTTGCGTTCACACAGCTGCTCTTCTCCAGGCCCTGTCTCATTAAAGCCCTTCTTGCCAGTCTAAGCTCAAAGCAGAGAGTGAACACTGCAGCTAAGGCAGAGCAAGGTGAGGAGCTCCAGAACCAGGAGACAGGGGCTCATT